GCCGATGTTTCTGCTGGTTGAATAGTCGCAGTTACGAAGGTTGGGGACGTCCTTCGAATACTTCCAGAAAGGAAGGCAAAACAGCGACTACTTGCACAAACAATTGGCTGAAAACCAGCAGTCGGCACACGAATGACCTGTGGCAAGTGCTGCGACAGACAGTGCCCCAGATTTGAGTTACCTTCTGCCGAAAATCAAAGGTTGGCACACGTATAAGACACTGCCTGAACTGCCTGCTTCACTGACCAGAGAGGACAAACGGTAGTCGAAACTGAAGACTGACTGATTCTACCACAAAGCAGCGCACAGGTCTAAGAGTTTTTAAATTAATCAGACGACGCGAATGTCTGACGAATGGGACTGTAAAATCGGTAAGCAGCAGGAGTCAAAACACACCTAAAGTTTCGATGTGGGTAATGCGCAAAATATAAACCAAACCAAAGGTGAGAAAATGCATGGTAAAAGATCGCGGTACTCAGAGTAGCGTGAAATCGTGGTAATGAGCAGATAGCGCGTGAGCTCGATCGAACAAACCCTTGATTCGAAAAGAAAATTGATGCCATATCTAAGACTGGTACTGAAAGAGACACTCAGGATGCGGAATTAGGACAGCAGCGAATCACAAGGCAGAATGAAACCATCAAAAATCAAGGCAGCGAATGGTCCCTCAGAAAGAAGCGATCTAATGTTTCGTCAGATTTTAATGAGGACCTCTATGCAGAATGACAGCGACAAAATCATGCGATACCAACACAAAACAGCACAATCTCGCTGCCATCTTACCGCCAAATCGAGCTTTTTTTCCGCGGCAATTTTCCGCGCAAATGGAGACACGGAAATTCGACCAGGGCTAGGCGGAGTAATTTGGGTCGCGCCATGCGGAATCCCGGCAGATGGAGTCGCTGCTTCCGTAGCTGGTTGCGCTGCCGATGGCGGTGAAACGGCGGAAACTGATGGCGGAAGCGGTGCAGAGGCGGCTTCTGATTCAGGCACCTCCTTCTTAGCAGGAGCACCAGCCTCCTGGTCTACGAAATTGGCAAAAGCAGCGACATCGTCTTTGTGTTCGACAACGATGCACAACAACTAAATGCATCCGACTTTGCAACAAAAATATATTAAAGTCAACAAGTGCCGTTTCTAAACATACGCGTCCTATTGGCACGTCCTTCGAACCATCTGGAACGACTATCTTTGCCAGATATCCTTCTTCGCTTGCCTCGAGGCCCATTGTCGCTTTATCGGTTTCAATTTCGCATAGCAGATCACCCTCAGACAGCTGATCGCCTTCCTTTTTCTTCCATGACACGATTGTACCCATTTCCATAGTAGGACTGAGAGCCGGCAACGCAATGTTCGTATGCGGCGGCAGCTTGCCTTAGCAAATAGGATTATCATCGACTAGACAAAGAAATGACCATACATACCGCTAGCAAAGCAACGAATGGGTGTGAAACTCCACGAGTGAAGCTTCGTGAGAACAGATGTTGTTGCATTCCTGAAAGGGCTAAATAGTTCAGGGATTGACTAGTCATATTATTGGAATAATACTAGCTGGAATGGAATAATGCGAGCAACTATAATAACTACTTCGTCTATAATTCATTCCCGTTCGGAGACAGAGTAGCCCAATACAAAGCGAAGACATTACTAATCAACAACTCATCTCATAAGGCAAAACAAAACTCAAACATATCGGCGTAAACTGTAACCATGGTAGTTCATTCAAGTTATGATGCGGTATAGAAGTTTTGTTTATGACATTAAATTGTTATACCCTCTACCATAAACCCTTAATGTATACAGGTGCTGCAATTAAATACGACTGCAAAACATTCGCTGAACCTAAAGAAATATTTG